TTGTCCAATCTCTTCTTAAAAACTCCCAGTATTGGAGCATTCATAACTTCTGGAGGCAAGTTGTTCCACTGATTAATTGTTCTAACTGTCAGGAAATTGCTTCTCTCCTTGATTAGTTTCCATCCATTGCTTCTTGTCCTGTCCTCATGTACTTTGGAGAATAATTGGACTCCCTCCTCTTTGTGGCAACCCCTGAAATATCCTTTCTCCTGAGATATGAAATTGTTAGTGGGATTTCTTTTTCTGTTTTTGTTTATTGTGTACTGTTCAGATTCCTAGTGATTCAGAAAGTATACAAAAACTGAAAGCTAAATAAATAAATAAACGAATAAGTTGCTGGTTTAGAAATTAAACTTAGAACACATGAATCCATAGCTTAAATGTACTTCAACATACACAAATGTGACCATGATGTTTGGCTGGCTATATTTTCATTGTGTTTATATGTTCCAAATAATTTTCCACTTGGGGAATATAACAAATTCATTCATTATTTGTACCCATGCACCATATATCCACCAGAACTAGACTGGGGCAGATTGAACAGAATGCCTTCATAATCAAGTGGAAATCCATTCTTATAACAGTCCTCCATATGAGCTTCCTGCAGCTCTGGAAATCTGCTCTGGGGGTTTCAGAAATCACTTTCCTTCATTCCCAAATGTGAAGTAACTTTGAGTCATAGAAATACATAGCTTCCCATGGTCTCAAATAGAAAATAAATAGGCAACCATGCTCATTAACTCCATAATTGTCTACTATGGAATAAGGGTCTACTTTCTATCATATAGAAAAGGCAGTGTGTTACCCAATATTGATGCTGTCCATGTTGTTTCCCTATTTAGTTTGATTGGCTTTAATTGAGAATTTTCCCTGATGACTCTCCCTTAATCAGAAGGGAAACATCTTGCTGTAATATAAATGGAAATCATCAAGATGCAATTGCTATTTAGTAGGAAGGCCATCAGAACATACAATGGGCCTACCTTTTCTATGATACCCTGGGCAGCAATTTGTTAAGCTATCAGAGAATCTGATATGGATGAAGTGATGCATTAAGAATGCTGTTTTCACAAGTGGGAGTTTCAGACAGGAAGGGAGAAGTTATAGCATCACTGAAAAGAAAACAACAGTTACTAAAATGGATAAAGAACTAAAGAAGTATAATAGGCCATCTTTCTGGAGAAGAGGACTATGAAACTAAAACAATCACAAGAGTGCTATGTGATTTCCCCATTGTTTCCTTTTCTGAAACCCACCATCCCATCCCTCTTTCTGAGCAAACTGTTAAGATTTAATGTGTCCTGCTCCAGTACTACTGCACATAGCATTGTCAAACAAGATTACATGTCAGAACTCCATTGTACTTTGAGAGCAATGAACTTGGCTCCTCTTCTGTTGTTTCAAAGCACTTCATTGCATCGAAGCATTCAATTTGTGAAAGATCAAAGGTAGAGTCAAATAAAGACAAAATGGTATTCATTAGCTAAGGGATATAAATAAGTTTAAAAATGCTAAGAGTGAAAGAAAGAGGGAAACTTAAGTAGACAGAATATATAAACACAGAATAGATAAGCTAACAAACAAAGAAATATTTGGGATTTAAAAATTAACTTCTTTCCCAAGTGTTATATTGGAATAGATTAAATAACTTGCTTAAATTGCATTTATTTCAGTAATCTTATGTCAGTATCTATTGTTGGTAGGGAAGGGGAAGACATTTGTTAAAATGTAGTGTAATGTGATTGTTCAACATATTGGGTACATCATCCTCATCCATCAAATTGTTCTTTTAAGATGCAATGCAGAGGAAGGGCCACTTGGTCTCCTACTTTCCAACTTCATTCTTCTGTTGTTATGTTACAAACAAGAGTTAGGGCTAGAATAAGTAGAAGACACTCCCCTAGGAACTACCTGTGTTCATTACCCACATGCTCTGGAAAGCTCTGTGCCTTTTGATAAGAAAAATGGATAATGTTAGTTCTTGCCTTTTGTTTGCAAATGTATCTCTCCCTACTTAAAAAGTTAAAGCTGGCTCTACTTTATATGTCATGTTGGGGTTCTTCAATACCAGTGCATTCCTGAACTTGGGCTATCTGCATCCTAGACTGCATGCTATTATGGAATAGAGTGAACAGACACCATGCTTATAAGCTGTCCCAGGTACATGTGACCTGTCAAATCTATTACTCTGCTGCATGTCCCTGAATAATTCATATCTCAGCTAATAAATAAAATATACAAATCTAGACTTATGAGCCACCTCTGAGTATAAATATATAGCTATTCTTGTGATACTAAGCAAAATATCTGAAATTGTGTGTCCTATTCCGCCCCCTTCTCTCTCACACACACATATGCTACGGGTGTTAGAAGTATTTATTGAGGCTTACAAGCCCTGAAAAGTCTTCCCCAGAAATTTCTCATGCCCACATCACACCGCCCCCAAGGTTCAATAGGCTATTCGATGAAAATCCCATGCCAGTCCAGAGAGCAAAGGCAAGCCCACAAGCCAAAGACAAGTCCAGGGTTCAAGAGGCACAATCCAAAGTTCGAGATACAGAATCCAGCAATTAATGCAAGAATTACAGTGGCTAAAGAATACACAGCAAGCAAATGGACATGTTCCCAGCATCGTTTTAGTCCAAACGCTGAGCTAAATAGCTGCTCCCCAGTGCAGTCCATGAAGAGGGGCAAGGCTGCTGCCTTGCAAGTAATATGGCTTCCTTTGTTGTACCTGCCTCCTCTCAACCCTGTGAATTCTCGAATTGGGAGGGGAGAGACAGTTCTTCCTCATCTCCATTGGCCAGTTGTAACTGTGTGCCCCTCCTCCTGAAACCTCTGGCTTCCCAGCTGCAGCTGTGCCTCTTCTGTTCCTAGTTCAACTGGCTGCTTGTCCATTCACTTCTGCTGTAAACACTCTGCTGGGCTGTGCATCGCCTGGCTCAGAGCTCCCAGCCACCTCTGGATGTTCATCTACATGCCTCCCAATGTCCATGAGCCAAGCTCTCCCTTGCCGAAGTAGCATCCAGAGAAGCATCTGGGGAAGCAACCAGGGAAGCCATCACATGGTATATGATTTAGACTTTTATAGGTGATGAATCCATGAAAAAATAACAATTAAAATATGATTTAATCAAGTTACTGTAAATTATTAAATAGTTTTGTATCTTTGTAAGTTGAGTGGCATATATATTTATTTACTTACTTATTTAAATTGTATCTTCTTACATCAAATTGTACCTGCATGTTATCTCTTTGTTCAGGGCAAAATAAATTGATAAAATAACTCTTCCTATTGGGTGTACCATTGGAGGACCTAAAGGTTGGAGTCCTGGGGAAAAATTGTCCTGGAGAAAAATCTACCTGTGTGATTGCTCTGACTTGATAGCACATAATCAGTCAATCAATCCAATCCTTTCATGGAAGCATACCATGAGCTGAGACTAATAGGTTTTCTGAATAATATAAATAATAAGTTTTTAAGAGAAGAGTTCAGTGGGAACTCTTTTTAGAGTAATTTGGAGAACAATGTCACAAAATGGTTAAAAACACATTTTTTTTAAAAAATATAACTTAATTGAACAGCTTTAAAAAACTTCAGTTGTAGATGAAGTAAAACAGGAATAATAAAAGGAGGAGACTTTCTTTAAAAAAAATACTCAAAGAACAATTAATATTGTTATTGTGCAAATTATACAAAATGTTTTTGGATCTCCTTCCCATTTTCTATATTTTTTCCACTGGATATAGAAAACATGACATTCTTTCTACATTATAACTATATGAATCATATTTCATCATATTAACTACAAAACTGGTTGTAGACTGGAAAATGGTAGTTACTTTCCTATGCTAAGTAGACTTAATATTTATTTTTCAGGATTGTTCTTGATTGTTGTTGTTGTTTTTAGCCTAGAACCATTGGGGAGCTTTCTCTTGAAAATAGCATTTGCTTTTCCACTACCAGTATAATTTATACTATTATTTTGCAATAAATATCTAAGGACATAGCATTTTACTTACTAAATATTCACAAGGAAATAAAATATTTAAAAATAAAACATACAATCATACATAATGCCTCCACCTCATCAAATGCTTTAAAAACTTTGCGTGATCATATGGACATTAGAAAATATCCTTTCTTTTTGCCAAAAAAGATTAGTGTGCAAATCTCTTTTGGAATTTGCACATGACTATTATTATATAGATAAAACGAAAGAAATTCCTCAGAATCGTGAGAGAGTCAAATAAATTAATATCTAAGAACTCAAGCAGATAACAGTTATGTTCTCACATTTCTTCTGCAGCCTTTCATAGTAATTAGTCAGTCATAAAATAATGCTAAATAATGGCTTATCATCGTTGAGAAGTTTTAATTGGTCATATGTGGGCTTTTCTGGATGCAGAGACATGATTTTTAAGTTGTGATGGACTAATTTTGTTTCTGAAAGTAACGTTGGAATGTAGTTTTGAATCAATTTAGGTTGGAACTGATTTTTAGAATAAAGTCTTGGCATGGAAAACAATTTCTGAATGGATGTTTTAATTTACCCAGAGACTTTAAAAGGAGAAACCAAGCCTTCTGAGAATACCAGGTGCACTACCTAGCCATTTCAGTCCAGATAGGCAATCAAATATTGGAGTTGTAAAACTGAGAACCCTTAATTTGCAGCAGTAATGAAATGTTATGATCCCTATTTTTAAATTTTGCCCCTAAAAATAGAGATGGGGACCTTGGAGTTTTCACATCTAAAATTAAGCCAGTCTAAACTACGACATATTTCTATCTTAAAGATTGCTTCATGCATGTCTAATCTGCAGTACCATCCAGTATTTCCTATGAAGCATTCTGACTTTTCATAGACTTCCTACTTTGGAATGTGTAATGAACAGCTCTGCCTGATGATGAGCTTTATACTGTCGTTTATACATTTGCTCTCTTACATTGTTAATAGGCCCATTAGAATTAACAAGCATATGCATACTATTCTTAGACACATGAAGGATCAAAACAAGAAGGTGGCCAATCTGAAGCACAATCAACAAATAGAAAAGAAGAAGAATGCCCAGTTGCTAGAAGAAGTTCGGAGGCGTGAAGACAATATGACAGACAATGCTCAGCATTTGCAGGTAAATTGCTTTATTTTTTATAACACTACTATACTAAATATTTTACTGTTTGTCTACACATGACTGAGTTGTCAATCCAAATAACACATATACTTCATAGCTAGTGATTAATAAAGTAGTGATTTTTCTTGATTGGCAAATGTTTAGTTACATACAGTAGATCCCATATATCCCATATATAAATCTTTTGGTATCTTTTGTCTTTATTTATTTAAGAAAAAGTTCTGTATCCTGAGGAGGTGTATACCTCCTGAGGAGGTGTATAGAACTTTATTACTTCCCTGCCCCCTCAAAAAAAGAATAGTTTAATTTATAAAAAGCAGCATTTAATATTCAAAAAAACCTATAATATATTCTAAGAAATTAGTTCCTATAAATTTAAAATTAATCATATAGGACGATTTTGCAAGGTGTAGCTAACAGTCCAGGATTCAAGAACACTTATCTATGAAAACTACCAGTAGTTGATCTTACAGGCCATTAGATGGCAGCAAAAAGATATAAATTTTTGTCTCTTTTTACTGCCATCTGGTGGTTTTTCACACTTTGCAGTCCAAATCTTAGTGAAACCTCATTCTTCTTCTTCTTCTTCTTCTTCTTCTTCTTCTTCTTCTTCTTCTTCTTCTTCTTCTTCTTCTTCTTCTTCTTCTTCTTCTTCTTCTTCTTCTTCTTCTTCTTCTTCTTCTTCTTCTTCTTCTTCTTCTTCTTCTTCCTCCTCCTCCTCTTCTTCTTCTTCTTCTTCTTCTTCCTCTCCTCCTCCTCCTCCTCCTCCTCCTCCCTCCTCCTCCTCCTCCTCCTCTCTCCTCCTTCTTCTTCTTCTTCTTCTTCTTCTTCTTCTTCTTCTTCTTCTTCTTCTTCTTCTTCTTCTTCTTCTTCTTCTTCTTCTTCTTCTTCTTCTTCTTCTTCTTCTCTTCTTCTTCTTCTTCTTCTTCTTCTTCTTCTTCTTCTTCTTCTTCACATACAGAAAACTTTTCAGGGATATACCCCAAGCTTTTATTCTGTGGAAGGGAAAACACTAGAAGAAGCTTCTAGTGCAGATAGATCTTGCTCTAAAGGCCAGTGAGATATACTGTATTATGAGAATATTAGTCTGAATCCATGGATACAAAGTGGAATTCACAGGCAAGAAGAAAAGACAGAAGTCAATAGTATCATTGGGTTTAAAAACATGCAAAGAAAAGTCTCAATTTAAAAGCAAGTTCTAAAACATAATGAAGCTGGTCTCTGTAGTTCACTGGAACATTAGGCAGGTTGATATATCTGTGATCTACAAAACTTAGATCAGAGGGTTTGGTGCTCAGAAGATGAAGCAGCATGGTTTGTCTATTCTTTCAGTCTTCAAGTTAGGCATTCTTTGCTTGCAGTTACAGTAGTAGATCTTTAAAACTTTCCCCAGATAAAAGACAGTTGACACATTTATTGCACTATCTCCTCTTTCCTATAAATCAAAGGTACATGGTATTGCAAGCTATTTAGATAATTTGGCACTGTTGTCAAAATACTTTCCGTGTATGTTCTACCCTTCTTGGAAATAAAGATATAACAGTGTTAGGTAACCATCAATCTTTAGGTAACATTTAAAACCAGCTGCCTGAAACATTGTTCATTATCTGTGGACACAAGGAATAATCGGTTTTTCAATCCCGTCTGGCCTTTTATAAAACTCATCTGGAAAGATTAAGAATTTTCTCTTTTAATCTTTCCCCCCCCCCTCTTGGCTCAAAATACTTAATTTTTTTGGTGATACCTTCGTTAATCAGCTTCCATGTATCATGTCAAATTTGTTGCTTTTGTCTGAATACTTTTCATGTTTCTAAAGTAGTATTTCTGTTTTGCACATAGCACTACAAACATGTTTCATCATGAATTATATTTTTTAATAATAGAAGTGAAAAATGGACCATGATGACTTTATATATATTGGATTGATGTATACATGGTTTTTTAGAGGTAGATCAGACAAAATAATATTTTTGTTCCATTGGAGGTCATGCTTTTGATTTAGCCATTGGTATCCCAGGTTACATTAATGTACATGTCTATTTAGAAGGAGTTTCAAAAGCTTCTGCCCCTGAAAAAGTTGATCAAATTAACTTTGCAAATCTTAACATAAACTAGTGAACATGCCCAGTGAGTTAATGAGATGAGGGCATTTCAAGTTGCCCCACTACTTGACCTTCTCCTGAGTGGCACTCATGCTATGGGATATTATGCTCAGGAAGTTCATTGGACTCCCACTTTTCCAGTATTTAACAACATGGGAAAATATCCCTGTTTTGTCCAATTTTGTTAATTTACTTTAATGATATTTATTTTTACCCCTCACACAGACATCCAAACACCATCTAAAAGTTAGCTTATGTGAAGATCTTAGAAGGTGGACTTTAGATAACCTCAACAATCATTACAGCTTGGGGAATGTTAAGATCAGCATTTTGAAATATGCTTATTGGCTCTTATACTGTACAAGTGACATAAAATTGGAATTATACGCAAAGTTTTGGCACCCTACCATATGAAGATGAGTGACTTACTATATATATCAGCATTAGTCTTCATATATCTTAAGGGGGCAATCCTATAACCGATCTTGGTAGTCTGATTTAGAGAACAATGGATAATTAGGTCATTAGGTCTAGTTCTCCAGATGGCACGCAAATCAGATTTTTGCAAACAATACTTTGGTCATTGCTGCCAAATCTGGCTCAGCCATCAGTAAGGAATCCAGGATCATTTCCAAGTTGTACACCTGGCCAAAGGAGGAGTACAAGTCTGTTGTATGCTATTATCCAGATCAGCTTCTTCTCAATCCACTGCAGCAGTATTTTTCCAAGATTAAGTTTCACTTCCTCTTTTCCACTCAGTTCAGAATCAGTTCCAGGCACTTGTTTAAGAGTTTCTTAACCTTTCTAAGAATGGTGGTAAAAAACAGAAAGGGAGAGCTATTTGTCATCAGCAAATTAATGACACTGAAATCTCCATCTCTAGGCAGTTCTTGGCAGATTCATTTAAAACTGAATAGGATTGGGATTCTTGCTTGCCTTAGACAAAGGCCACTTGAAGAAGAGAAATTCTATTATGAACATCTCGTGAAACAGATTACATCAGAATCAGTGTAGAAGTGTGCTTTCTAAACTCAGGCCAGATGTTGGAAGAGGAGATGGTGATAAATAGTAACAGCTGCCAATTAGAAATTAGGACTTGTACTCTCAGTATCCAGTAAGTTAGCAGAACAAATGAAGGCCGTTCCAAAGCAGAATTATGAAGAGATTGGGATAAATCTATATAATTGATTTGTTCCAAGTTACGAGTTCTTCACTTTTGGCCTGGAGGCTTTTATCAGCCATAATTGGAAAAGATCCAGAGAACAGGTAGTGGGCTGCAAACTTCCTGGCTAGTTTGTCCATATTCTTTGGGTGAATTAGATAATGTGCATCTTTCCCAACTTGATGTTTTGATATTAGACTGATTATAATTGCAGACTGATTACAGAGTAACTTCAAAGTCAGCACAGAACTCACCAGATTCATGTAATAGCAATAGCACTTAGACGTATATATCACTTTACAGTGCTTTTACAGCCCTCTCTAAGCAGTTTACAGAGTCAGCATATTGCCCCCAATAATCTGGGTCCTCATTTTACCCACCTCGGAAGGATGGAAGGCTGAGTCAAACTTGAGCCTGGTGAGATTCGAACTGCTAAACTTCAGCAGCCGGTAGTCAGCAGACATAGCCTGCAGTACTACACTCTAACCACTGCACCACCATGGGTCAAAAAAGGTTTTTTTATAACTGAGAATAGCACTGATTATCAGCATTGTGCAGATGTAAAGACCATGAAGCTTTCAGTACCTACTGTCACTGAGTAATACTTAAGATAATCATACACACAATGAGGGTTTTTTTTGGCTACTCGCAAATCTAATAATTTAAGATTGCATAAATTGCTACAATTAAACTACGATTATGTACTTCTAGGAGTTTTGGCATTGGTGGGTTGTGAACCAATGCTACTCTGCATTGTCATACAAGTGGAAAGCTCAGAGCAGATGAGAATCATATCCCTGTTGGCTGAGCTACTCATCTTTCCTGTTTTTCTAGTTTATCCCTGGTGACTCAGTTGAGGAATAGCTGAAATCTGATGGAATTGGCCTTTCGCCATAGCTGATGGGTGACCATGTTTTCTATGGGTCTACTTTAGTAAGTCTGCTTTTTAACTGAAGTGGTAAACCATCAGGTGAAGCCTTTTTCAAATCAGTCTCCTTCTGATACACTTGCTGTAACATTTATATATTCCATGCACTATTAATGTATTATAATGTTGAACTTTAAATTTGATCTTACAGACCACACAGAAATATTCAGTATATTTGGCTGAGTTGCACACTCAGTTTTCTTTATTTAAATCTCATACACCTTTTCTGTCTTCAGCAAATTTTCTTTTTTTTTTTTTGGAAATTCAGTCTCATATTGCATCCAAATGGACAACGATTGTCATATTTGGTTAAACTCCATTTTAATGCTTCTCTCTCCCGAGTATAATAAATTAATGAAATAACATATAAAGAAATGTAACAGCCAATATTTTATGCCAATAAAATATCCTTAGAATTCACTCCAATTCATTGTCTAAAAACTAAAGTATATTTTTAAATATTTCCATTTTTTCTTTTATAGAATCCTTGGAGATAGTGTAATTTCCTCTCTTTTAGTGGTTAAGATGAAGTGTGATTAGCTTGACAAAAGTATATTTTGGTATGTTTTAATTTTCAAATCAAAAGATCCCTGGGGATAATATGGTTACTTCTTTTCCAGTAGTTAAAATGACCACTGAGATTTCCATACATATTAAAACAAAACAAAAGAGAAAAGATAAAAAACATGACAGATCAACAAACAATATCATGGATCTGTGTACCCCTGAGATTATTTGCATCTCTAATTACTGCTTCCTTGATTTATAACCACAATTGAGCCCAGAATTAAGCTCATAAACTGTG